AGACCGTCATCTCGCCCAGTGTCGACTCTGTCAGTTAGTAGGGAAAGAGCGTCTTCCGTAGAGTGCCCATGACGGAACGCAAATTGGGTCACTGGCAAGATGTTCATCTGTGCGACATGTTCCACCAACGATTTCTGCACGACCTTCTCAAGGATTTTGGACAGTATCGGTAGCAGTGATACCGGTCGGAAATGTTTGGGAACAGAGGGATCACCAGACTTGTGGAGCGGAACAACGTGAGCTAATTTGAACTGCTGTGGAACTTCGCCGCTGGATAATGATGCATTAAACAATGTGGTAAGAGATGAAGCTAATATATCAGCACAATACTTGATTAGGAGACCCGGGATTCCATCACTTCCAGTAGCTTTGGCCGGGTTGACTTGCTGCAGCAAGCGCTCCAAAGCACCCACTGTGACGGGTGGAAAGGACACTAGGGAATGCTCTGCAGGGGGTCCCGCAGGCAGGAGTAGTTTGGATGGCCGAGTGATGTCGGTGACGACAGTCTCGAAAGCAGACGTAATCGCCTCTACACCACACGATGGCTCCTGATGTGTCCGCTTTCGACCGGTAACGGAGTTTATGACGGACCATAGCTGACGGGGGTTTCCCGTGTTCTCCGCGCACTTGTTTCGAAAGAACTCGTTCCGTTTACGCCTGTAGGCATTTGATGCAGCGGACCGGGCCTGTTTGAACGCTGAGTGGGCCTGCTGGCAAGTTTTGTCCGATAGCCAACGCTTGTGCAGCCTGTTCTTCCGCATAGTGAGCTGATACAGCTCTCTGTCCGACCACGGTGGTTCGCTTGGGCGTTTCCGGCTTTGCTTGCAAGTGAATGGAGCATGGCGATCCAGAACAGTTATAAACTTTGAATGCCAGTCTTGCCACATTTCATCCACGTTAGCCTGAGCAGGAAAAGCATACAAGTTTGCAGCAGTAAGGTCATTTCGGAAGTCGTTTATATTGATGTTGCGGAGATTTCGGGTGGATGTAGCCGGCTTACTGGTCGACTGCTTGGGCACGGAAATGTCCAGCTTGGCAAGAACTGCAAAGTGGTCACTGATCGTGCACTGAATGACATGGCACATCGCTACTGTTTCGGGACGGGCTAGGATTAGGTCGATTACGGTACCTTGGGGGCAGTCGGGCGTCACGCGCGTGGCACTATCCACATGGTTTGCCAGACCAAATGCACCTGCCAAGTCAAATAGATGGCGAGTTTGATAGTGTGTCCTGCTGGTATCAATACTAGGCGGTCTGGCATTCGTGTTGAAATCGCCGAGGAGAGTTATCGATGGGGTTATCCGTGAGGCTCCGTCAAGCGCTCTCTCTAGTCGGGTCCAAAAGCTGATAGGCTCAGTTGGTGGGCGGTAGACACAAGCAAATACATGGTGGGCTGTCCCAGAATTCGTTGTCTGTAACCAAAGAGCTTCCAGGCCATCCTGCGCAAGGTCCAGCCGAGGTTGGAGAGCAAGAGATGAGCGATAGTAGAATGCCACGCCGCCTCCTGGGCGCCCACGGTCAAGTCTCACGAGGGAGTAGTCTGGGATGACTAGTTCTCCATTACTGATAGTCTCATCCAGCCATGTCTCTGCAAGGCCAATAACGTCGATCTGGGAGCTATCTAGGAGTGCCTTAATTTCATGTGTCTTGTGTCGCAGACTGCAAACATTTAGGAATGCAATTGTCAAGGGAGTTGACCTATTTTGTGGGGTACTGTGCCTGGTGAAAATGGTGATGTATAGGAGAAAACTTGCGTAACATAATACAAAGCAATCAAAACGAAGATAAAGAACAATCATGCGAGCGAAGAATCAATCTATGGGCTACGGCGCCAGATCCTCGGCTGTGAGCGGATTCTGATGGGCTTCTTGGCTTTCCTTTGCTTCCTGGTACGAACATCTGTGAAAGCTTCAGAATCAGAGCCACCGTTCTCGTCTTCCATTTCGGAGCCGACATCTTCCCAGCTTCTATTTTCCGGGAGCTCATCCGCCGACGACTTGACCTTGTCGCAGCTGTTTTCATCTTCAACAGTGTGTGTATGTACGTGCTTGCGGGGGGTCTGGTTCTTGCGCGTCCCAGCTGATCTTGTGCTAGGCTTCCCATTGACCTTGTCAGGTACTGTGGACTCTCCCGCACTGGCGCCAACATCAACTGCTGCAGTTTCTGTGTGAGGGCTTTCATTTATCTGTTCTTGGCTTGGCGCCTCTTGGTGACCCGTACTAGTACTCAATTGCCCTTGCAAGGAGTCTGCGTAGGACATGTTGGTCTGCGAGTTGTGTACGCCATTTCTCGCACCTACAGCTGCTGTACCTGGGCAGTCTTTTGCCAGATGGCCAGAGACACTGCAGCGCCAACAAGTTTGAATTTGACCTTTGTGCCATACTCTTACGGTACGGGAACCTACTCGCAAGCCAGAAGGCACAGCCTTCCTCAGGGAAACTTTGACATACCTGGTCCCGGTGTCAACTGCAAAGCCCTCATGGCTAACAATCTTCCTCTTTGGAGGACCATGGACCCGACCATAGAGTGAAATTTCATGCACAAGAGCACCATCTTGCAATGACAGGGGGCATCCGAATACATGGAGAGTCGTAACTGACATGCCTCCCATTACAACTTCGACATTCTTACTGGCAAATACGAATTCTTCCTCTGACGTCAACAGGCGGTCGCGCACTCCTTGCGTGACGAAGGTGACATTGCACCAGCCAGGCTTCCCGTTTAGGTCCAGTTGGCTGAGTTCGGAGGGCTGAACACCCAGTCTAGACAGCTCCTTGATAAAAAATACATGGTCCAAAGGCCAGTCCTTGTGGACCCTAAACATAAATGAGGCAGGAGCAGGAGCTCCAGAAGTGCTCCCGTCCTCCATCGTGAATTTATCAAGCTTGTAGTTGAACTTGTACTGTTGTACTAGGTACTACTAGTACTGTACTCTGTAGTACTAGTACTACTAGTACTGTAGTAGCGATCCAGTCAGCCAGTTCACAATCACATGGTTCACGGTCTGCACCAACGCTCTCCGCTGTCATGGTGAAAAGCCTACAGTGATTGGTCCGGTGCAGGGAGTCCTAAAAGCCCGGGAGAGGACACGGGATGCGCGCACGCGGACGATGTTTGCCTCGGCCAGAAAGTGAAGCACGCTAGGCCGGCGCGGCCGGATCTGCTCGATCCACGGCGCTGTGCTTGTCTTCAGGGCAGGGAGTCCTAAAATACCAATATTTTACAACTCGTTGTTGACACCATTATCCGAAACTGGTGGCGAAGGAAGGATAAACATGATTGTATGTCTGTCAGACTCAGTACAGGGGTGGGGAGTTGAGTGTGTGTGTGTGTGGGGGGGGGGGGGGGGGAGGCGTGTGTATGTGCACATGTGCTTGTACTTTTGTGTGTGTTTGTACAGTGTTTGTGTGTGTGCTTGTGTGTGTGCGCGCGAACGTGTGTGTGCATTTTTGTGCACAATTCCGTTATGAAGTACAAATGATAGGTTTACCTTTTGTACACTCGCCAAGACTTCCGTTTCCTAAACGGCTCAAGTCACCGCGTACTCAGTATACGAGTAGAAAAGTGTTGAAATTATCAAGATTTATAAATAACGACCTGCAACCATGTACAATGTAGATAGATAGGGAACACACATTGACTGTTTTTAAAAGAATCCAGGCATTATCATGAATCATGGAACGAGTGCGTAATAATGCTCTATGTTGCGTTTTGACGATGCTGAAGGAAGGGAGCCGTCGCGATTTACTCACAACACACGCACAGAAGTCCACTCGACTGCAATTTCTGACACAAATTCATAAATCCACGAGTACGCCGAGGAAGCTCAGCGGATCTCCACAAGAACTTTCGCCCATCACCTGCAATGGAATATGGGCTGTATGATACGACCAGCGGCTAACACGGGAAGTGGCGTCATTTTCCACAAATCTCATTTCGTTCACCCCAACTCAAATAAAAGTGAAGTACAATTAGGGATTTGTCTTGCATTTCCATCGCCTCAGAATAAATTAACTTCGATAAACTGAGAGAGAATGAGTGAGGCAGCTGGAAGATGAGGATGAAAATAGAGATCAGAAGACTCGACGGAGCAATCGTCTCCGTGCTCTAAGAGAAATCGGAGAATGTCCCAATTAGTATTTCAAGAAGACATCACAATTTTCGAAAATAATAATTTCCTTGCCTCGCAACACCGTTCCCTGGCAGCGTTCCCCGGCAGCGCGAGGCAAAGATGTTTTCTGGGAATGTGTGCCGTGTCCTCTCCCGGGCTTTTACGACTCCCTGGTCCGGTGCATGCTCCATCACGCGCAAGCACTAAAATTCGGCCGGCTTTTCGGCTAAATATCGACCAGTCGATACTTGGCCGAAAACTAGTGTGACAAGAAAATCGTCGCAGATTTGTCGGAACCCTGTACGACAACACCGTTCACACTACGCAACTTTCGCCCCGATCTTGAGGATTTTTCGTACGAGTCCATGTCGGCCGGAAAATCGGCCTAGTCGTTGCATGATCCTGGCCTATCTATGCGACCAGCAGCTAGCAGCGCATTCATGCTACTATACGGTAATGAGTATACGTCTGCATGGCCAGCGCCCTGTTACCCTGTAGACGTGCGACCGGATTTCCATGTCCACTAGTACAGAGTCAGTAGATTTTAGCCTTTTCAAGTTTTCACGCCTTTGGCCTTGTAGCTCGTGTAAAACTAATAATTATTTTCATTTCCGTTGTCTAGCGTCTACTACGGTCCAGTGCGGCTGTGTACCGCGTGTACATGTGTAACAGACAAGCCTACAACTATGTTACTTTAGTGTAGTGCCCACCGTTCTGTGTGAACAGCTAGTCCGACTCATCCGACACAGTCGGTCGATTTTTTGTCGGAGTCGATGTGGGAGCGTCGGCCGGAAAATCGGCTTAGTGTGAACCAGGCTAGCTTTAGTCAAACCAAAAAAATAAGAGTAACACTACGACGTCATGGAGCAAGCACGTACATGTAAGAGCGAGCGCGCAGTCGTTGCTCTGCATTGGGCTGTCGCAGAAACCAAAAAAGATTGAGAGTCTGGCTCTCCTCTTCCCCTCATCTTTTCGCATTTCCGTTGCCTCTCCCTCAAGTTGTTGTTATCGTCGTACCTTCATTCCAAAGTCGCATCACAAACAGGTGTCTATGCTTCGTGAGATTTGTACGGCTAGCAGTATATCTTTCTGAGGAAAAAGGAATGGAACGAATGTTGACTAGCAGAGGATGCTATGGTGATAAATTCACGGGAATTACGTCAAATTGCTGTAAGTACATAGGTGTGGCCTTACACTTTGAGCAGACCAGAGAACGTGGAAGACATAGCGATGGGTGAACCTGAAAGCCACAGAAGTAAGTCAGTTGCTACTGGATGCAGGCTAGTCGAAGTGATGAACGAATAATGAATAAACATTTTTAACTCTCTGCAGCACGTGCTACTGTAAATCAGATCTCTATCTATTCTTTCACTGCTCAGAAGTGCTAAAATTGGTGCAAAATGGAGAGTGAGAAAGAGGGCGCAGGTACCACAGTCAGGGGAGAGGGGAGGGGAGGGAGTAGGGCGCGAGCGCAACAGACTAAATATCACCACAGGTGGTAGGATAGAGCTTGTTACCAAATGTTTCCACGTGAACAAGTTGCCGCTGCTACCAAACTTCAGTGTCATCAAGTGGCAATAGTGAGCCTGTTCTCGCACTCCCTGGCTGTGTAGCCGGCGCCTCCTACATTACCATCCATTTTACACAAATTGTATCACCTTTGGCCAACACCATGCCCAGTGGGTCAGCAAATGCATTTCACAAGCTAGCACCGACCCCCCTCCCCGTAAGTTCTCACCTACCTGTTCACGCTTAGTAACTTGCGGCCTAGCCCTAGCGCCATCCTGGACTATGTTACCGTATAAAAGGGGATACTGCAGCCATTTCCTGTATCATTTTAGTCACCTTGTGATTTCTAGCTGGGCATGAAATTCCTAGTTGTGATGTTGTGTTGTCCTTCATTGCAAGGACCTATGTGATTTTTGTGATATGTCTGATAATAAAGATACGGTAAGTGTGGCCTGCATACCCGCTAGTTGGCACCATTTTAATATGTGCTCCAGGTCTCTATGTGCATGGTGAATTTGTTCTGAAAATATCCTAATCCTGTTCTCGCAAAAGATGTGCATGGTGAATGTGCAACTCGCTTCATTTATTGTGTTGAATCCTGTTATTGGTGATCTCTCCGTTCCTTGTAGAGACTACCGGCGCGGTCTGGTGGTCAGCAGCAACAGCAGCAATGGCCTTCCGGAACAAGCATGGACCTCTGGCCATCATCGGTGAGTTTTGTAGCTAGCAGGACCCACGGGCCGGGGTTTGTGTGATCTCCGGTACCCTAATCGGTAGGGTACTGTCCCGGAAACGTAGGAGCGATGGGTATGAATCCCACTGGTGGATCCTTCTTTTACAACAGTTTGAACGATCCAATGCTTGGTTAAAGCTGTTTGTTGAACTGACAATTACCCGTCTAGACTCAGTGTCTGCTCCAGCGCCGGGTGAGCCGGGTAATCCACCCGGTTGGGCGGCGCTTGGACCCGGTTTAAAATATAGTACCGGGTCACCGGTGACCCGGGTGGTACTTAACAGTTTCGAACTTTGAAAGGACTGACTTCATGGCTTGTATGTGTCAGATACTTCTTCTTCTTTCGTAATTTTCTAATTCCTGTCCTCTCTTTTCTAAATGCGGCTTATCCATTCGCCCTTATATCATTGGGCCTAGATCCCGTTTATTGTCCGAATTAAAATAAACCAACCAACCAGTTAATTAAATTAAAGCATGTGACTCGGCTGGTGAGACAGCGCCAGGTACATGTGTACCCGGCTCCGACCCGGTTGAAATGGTTGCGCCAGGTACACGTGTACCCGGCTGTCCTACAATCCTAGAGCAGACACTGAATATTAATGTGGATGACTTTCGTATTCCTTGGGTTTGAGTGAATAAGGTCAAAAAGAGGTTCAAGGGTCTTACACGTTCAGGGAAAATCCCTAAGCTTCAGTCTAGACAAGTCCTTGTCAGTTCAACAAACAACCTTGACCCAGCATTGGATTGTTCAAACTGTTGCAAAAGAAGGATCCACAAGCGGGATTCGAACCCAGCATCCCTGTCTCGACAGGACAGTGCCCTACCTAATAGGTGCTATGTGCATATGAACAGATCTTGCATTGATTCCGTCTCAGTTAGCGTTAAAGAACTTGGATGGATGTGCTGGTTGGATTGAGCAGAATTTGTAAATGTTTGCCAATGAAGACTTTAGCTAGGCATGTTTGCGTGTTTGGAATACTGGGCTACAGTAGCAGAACTCTTGTGCAAGTGGAAATATTTTCCCTTTTCGGGGTTTCTGAATCACTGTGCTCTTTTGTCGTGTCATTGACGAGGGCTGGCAATGTATTTTGTAATTTCTTCGTGATGTTCCTGATGATGTGCTCTCCTCGAAACAAACACATGGATCCACTGCATTCTCGATGGCAATGATGCAGCAACAGCAGCAGCAGCCGCAACAACAGCAGCAGGCGCAACAGCAGCAGGCGCAACAGCAGCAGGCGCAACAGCAGCAGGCGCAACAGCAGCAGGCGCAACAGCAGCAGTCGCAACAGGAGCAGTCGCAACAGCAGCAGTCGCAACTACAGCAGAAGGCGCAACAACAGCAGAAGGCGCAACAACAGCAGCAGGCGCAACAACAGCAGAAGGCGCAACAACAGCAGAAGGCGCAACAACAGCAGAAGGCGCAACAACAGCAGAAGGCGCAACAACAGCAGAAGGCGCAACAACAGCAGAAGGCGCAACAAAAGCAGCAGGCGCAACAACAGCAGCAGGCACGACAACAGCAGCAGGCGCGACAACAGCAGCAGGCGCAACTACGGCAGCAGTGGCAACAACAGCAGCAGGTGCAACAACAGCAGAAGGCGCAACAACAGCAGCTGGCGCAACAACAGCAGCAGGCGCGACAACAGCGGCATGTGCTACAACAGCAGAAGGCGCGACTACAGAAGGAGGCGCGACTACAGAAGGAGGCGCAACAACAGAAGGAGGCGCAACAACAGCAGCAGGTGCAACAACAACAGCAGGCGCAACAACCTCAGCAGCAGGCGCAACAACCTCAGCAGCAGGCGCAACTACAGCAGCAGGCGCAACTACAGCAGCAGGCGCAACTACAGCAGCAGGCGCAACAACAGCAGCAGGCGCAACAACCTCAGCAGCTTCAGCAACCTGCCTTACCGCCGGCAGCGATTGGCAGCAATCTACACCGGTCACAATATGGTAAGACGTCAAGGGCATCCTACCCTAGTGGATCCAGTGGCGCAGCAGTATACACTGATACGAGATCGCCGTACCATCGCTTTGGCCACACACCGGTGCAGCAAGGTCACACATCATACTCTGGATCTTCGGTGAAGGCAATGTCGGGACACCAGAGCAGTGTGAGTAAACAGACAGACACACACACACACACACACACACACACACACACACACACACACACACACACACACACACACACACACACACACACACATACACACACACACACACACACTTGTACTTGTACTTGTTGCTCACTGCCAAAACTGGCCACGTGGGTCTCCCAGGAGAGGGGAGAGAGACTCAAAAGGAATCTTGGAAAGATGACTTAACTGTTTATTGAACCACCCAACGGCCGACACCCCCTGAAATCCCCAAAACTCTGGGTGGACTTGAAAATGATCCCACTTATGGGCTCACCACACCTCAGTAAGAGGGTGAGGACAAGGTCCAGAAAAAGGAGTGACGGCATCACATTATCCGTTTTGGGATCCAACTGCAGTTACCCCTGCCCCCAGTGAAGGTAACACTTGCTACTAGTGTGGGTGGCTAAATCAGAGTGGATCTGATATAAGCTTGACTAGCGCCATTGATTACACAAGAGTTAATCTAGCCAGAAGGAGTACCTATCTAACAGGTATGTATACTTCATATAGAAAGTATATGAACCCTGGACCCAACAAAGGTGGCAGGTACAACATTACACCTTCAAACAGCTGAACGCGTTGGCAACAGACCCAACACCACCCGGCATAAGTGTATCCACCAACCAAATTAGCTAGCGCGAGCACACACACACACGCGCGCACACACACCTTTGGATGCACATTGCTGTGTGCAATGATAGCATCAGGAGTTGCAGTATTTTCCGTGGCGAGTTAGATCGTTGGGCCGAAGGAAGTCCCTGCCACAGCCACAAATGAACACTCTAGGCTTTGGCACAGCCGGCCGGGTACGATTGCACACAAGGCGCCAGTCTCGTCTGTCCTGCGCCAAGTCGCACCAGTCACCTGTCACGCACCGAGCACTCAGTTCAGCAGCGGCGATGTTCCTCCAACGTTTCTTGGCACACGCACACACACACACACACATACACACACACACCCACACACACTACTACTACTACTACTACTATAGCATGACTGCCCATTGGGCAATGTCACCCCGGAGGGGGCCAGAGTTTGGAGGGCACCGTCATTGGCAGGACTTCTGGTGCCTCGTCAAGTCTTGCTGTCGTCGGGAACGCTTTGCGCAATGCATGCATATCAGCGGCAGTGATTCCCTATCGGCTGCAGCAAGACGTTTTCCACGGTTGCGGGGAGGGATGGCTAATATTGTGCGTATGCAGCGATGATGGAAGGCATCCAAACGTCTACTATCAGCTTTCAAGGGCGTCCAACACTCACTGCCGTACAGCAAAATGGACAAGACACAGGCCACGTATAGCTTCACTGCCGTACAGCAAAAATGGACAAGACACAGGCCACGTATAGCTTAGAGGACCGGGCATCCGGTGTCACGACGGACCCCAGATAAATGAAGGATGGAACGTGCTCCACAGTATCACCGTTGACGTTCATATCGGCTCTATCAGGCATGTTGACTTGGCTGCCTGCCACGAGAAATTTCGTTTTCGCAGCGTTGACGCAGAGGCTAAAGGAAGGGGCAACCGTGCAGAATGTTTCAAGGCACTTCTCAGCACCAGGGCGGTCTTCAGCGAGCAAGACCGCGTCATCCGCGTACTCAATGTCATTGATGATTGCGGCATTAGACTGGCGACCGGGCTTAGAGAAAAGGTTGCCATTGATGCTAAATTGGATGGGGATGCCAGGTGGATGGTCGCTGTCCTGCATGTGCCCACCGCTCAAGCACAACACCGAAGTACAGATTAAAAAGTACTGGGGCCATCACACAGCCTTGACGGAGGCCATTGTTGACCGCAAACGACTCGGTAATGCTGGCACCGACGCGCCCAGCTGCCTGCATGCTCTCGTGGAACGATTGGATTAGATTGAGGAGCCCTTCAGGAATGCCTAGTCTCCCCAGCGCTAGGCAGAGTGCTTGGCGTGGTACGGAATCATATGCTTTCTCCAGGTCTACGAAGACACAGAACAGCTTCTGACGGTGCTCATACAATTTCTTGATGAGCTGGCGAATGGAAAAGATTGCATCAGCACAGCCGCGACCAGGACGAAAGCCACACTGAGATTCTGGAACTTCTTGTTCCGCGACAAGTTGGAGACGGTCCTGAATGAGACAGCCACAAACCTTGCCAGCGACATCTAGGAGGACAATGCCGCGCCAGTTGTTGCAGTTGGTCAAGTCACCCTTTTTGGGAATCTGGACGAGTTGGGCATCCCGCCAATCCTGGGGGACCGTGCCATTGGTCCATGCAGTGTGAATAACATCAAGCAGAGCCTCAAGCAATGGTGTACCACCAGCTTTAAGCAGTTCAGGTGCAATTCCAGATGAGCCAGGAGCCTTGCACTTAGCTAGCTGGTGTTAAGCCATAGTGAGGCACACACACACACACACATACACACCTCAGACCTCAGACATGCCCATCGCAGAAGCGATCATAGCGAACAGCTATGTTGGACATACATGTAACAACTTGTGCTGGGATTACACCATTCAACAGCTTTCCAGGCTGATGGACCGTCACAAATTTTAGCCTGGTCTACACCACACAGCTGATTGAAGTGGCTTTTTCTGGCCAGTGAATCCCTATTTTCTTTTTTCTGCATTCTTTCTGCGTTTTCTCACACACACACACACACACACACACACACACACACACACACACACACAGATGCACGTGCACGCGCATGCAGGGGCGTAGGCAGGGGGGGGGGGGAGGTGCTTTGGGTGCCAAAACACCCCTCTCAAAAATTTCTATATCGTTTCACAGCTGGTTCGAGAGAGAAACCATAGCATAGTATACGCAGACCGCTGATCACATGCGTGCCACTCTGCACATCGCACACTGTAGCCATCCCTGTTCAGACCAGGGAGTAGTAGGTACTAGTAGGTACTACTCCCTGGTTCAGACCTGCAAGTACAATGCATCTGAAACCAAACCACATACAGTGGACTATTAATTTTTGTCTCATGATTGGCCATTTTGCAATGAAATTTCTAGTCAAGGGAACTCCGCTTCGACGTGCCTGCTGTTGTGCAGTGTCACATCAGGCCTCAGCAGGCTCAGCGCATGATTTGCATCGCGCTCCACATGTCTTGTTAGAAGCAAGGAATCGTACAAAACACGCCATTGGTAGAAGCAAGGAAGTGGCAACGCGGCCTATGGACGGAAAGCACACGTCAGACATAGCAGTTTACTCTCGCTTTGTTTTGTATAATGTAGTTCTGGCTGTTAATTGGTCTTGATGGAGGTTGTGGAAAGGCACAGTTTCTTTCAAGTGCTGCAAGTGTGGGTACAGCAGCAGAAGAGTTAAAGTAATGTTGAAGTGCAGTTTGAGTTTTTGTGGGGAATGACTTAGTGTAGGTTTGATCAAGGATGCCTTACTGCACTATCAAACATGACGAAGAGGAAACATGGCTCGAGAAATCCCACTTTAAAAGTTCGATGGAGAGTGTGATAATTCTGAAGAAAGCAGCGTCCAGGACTTTGTCCATCATTAGTTGGAAGCAGGGAGTAGTAAAATATCATAATAATTACTACTCCCTAGGTGTGGCTACGCCACCCAGTGCAAAGAGAATGCTGGTAACCCAAGAAAGTCCTGGGAAATTCTCAATGCCGTGACAGGGCGCTCACGGTGCCGTCAAGATCTGTGCTGCGACGTCAATGAGATCAGCAACACGTTCCACTCTATTGTTACAGACACAAACCGACCTGACCATCTCGGCGTTCCATGTGGCCCCAAAGGGCCTGTCTCGCTAGCCGAGTTCTCCCTTGTAACTCCATCGGACGTTCAACGTCTCCTTGAGCAGGTAGATGCTCGCAAAGCTACGGGAAGGGAAGGCGTACTGGGTTCGCTATTGCGGCAGTGTTCCGATTTATTGGCATACTCTTTAGCAGTACTGTTTTGCACTTTCCTCCGCACTGGCACAGTTCCTTTGGCGTTCAAGCTGGCGACCGTTGTACCGCTTTACAAGTCCATCGTGAACCGCAGCCTGTCCAACTTCCTGAAGAAGAATGACATCCTTTCTCACAGGCAGTTTGGCTTTCGCACTGGACTGGGAACCTCTGATCTGCTGATTGCTCTTCAGCATGAGTGGAGCCTTGCAGCTGCCAGTGGAGGCCTCGTCAGGGTACTCGCAGTAGATATTGCCGGGGCCTTCGACAAGGTCTCGCACAACGGCGTCCTCCACAAGGCTGAGCGGTGCGGCATAAGTGGCCTCCTCCTTGCCTGGCTCCGGAGTTACCTGACAGACCGCCACATCCGGGTCGTCATAGGTGGCCAGTCTTCACCGACCCACCGAATCCAATCTGGCGTGCCACAGGGCAGCATCCTCGGCCCCACCCTCTTCCTTCTGTACGTCAACGACGCAGAAGACCACCTGCCTGATGGGGCGAAGCTGGCTGTATACGCCGACGACACAACTCTCTACAAGTGCATCACCACCCGACTCAGACTGCCAGAAGAGACAGCAATCCTCCAGCAGGCAGTAGACTCACTGGCAGCATGGGGAAGCAGGTGGAGGATCAAGTTCGAGCCCACAAAGTCGCAGGCATTGACCATCAGCCACCACCGCTCGCCAACCCCCCCGAACGCAATACGCTTCCAAGGAGCAGTCGTGCCAGAAGTAGAGGAGCTCAAGCTTCTTGGCGTCACCTTCGACAGGCAGCTGGCATTCCGCAGCCATATCCGACAGCTTGCAGTACGCGGAGCCCAGCGGCTCGGCTTCCTCCGTAAGGCATCGGCTGTGCTAGACCCAAAGCACCGGGCAATCGTGTACCGTGGCTTTGTCCGCCCTGTGCTAGAGTATGGCATGCTGGTGTGGATGAGCGCAGCCCCCACCACCTTGGCCCGCCTCACTGCCATCCAGCGCCGTGCCCTGCACATAATTGGAGATGGAGCATACCTCCCGAGCCTCGACATTCGCCGTACCGTAGCAGGGCTCTGCTTTCTGTACAAGCTGCACTTTGTGGAGGGTCCGGAAATGGTGAAAGCCATTCTGCCACCATCAGCAGCCGCACCGCAACACCGCATGCCTACTCGAGCGACAACCAGATCTGCAACACATCATCCATCGCAACTCACCAGTATCCTTCCCCCTCAGGCACGAAACAACACGCTCCGCTCATTTCCCCACTCCCTCATCGAAACGTGGAATCAGCTCCCACCTACCCTTCTGCAGTCTCCCCCTTCTCGCAGAGGCATGCACACGTTCAAGAAAAACGTCAACGACCACTTGCGGCGCAGCAAGTGGGAGTGGGCCACAGACAGGCTATGATCTCTGCCAACACACCAGCCTAATTATACTGACCGCACTCCAGCTCCCTTATACCCCTCTTTGATCCCCTTCGCTCAGCCTTAAAACCCGATTATCAGTTCACTCCATCTTCCTACGGTGCACTGCTTTTACTATTGTTTTGTCCTATCCCAATCTCAAATTCTCCCCATTATCGTTTGCAAAGCCAGTGCTCCCCTCTTGGATGCACATGTTTCTTTTCTCCTATGTATCGGCGCACAGGAGTAACAATGATTCCGAGACCTTTGGTCGGAGGATTTACTTTTGCCCCGCCCCCACTTCCATCCAATATGCCACCGCCCCCGCTGTGCAGCATCTGATGGTACTGTGGTATTCAGTAAAAAAAAAATAAAAAAAAATAAAAACAAGACCGGGGACCCATCAGTCCCCACCAATTGTCGCCCTGTTTCTCTCCTTCCAGTTGTCTCAAAGCTGTTGGAGAGAGTGGTGCAGCGTTAGCTAGTTCGCCATCTAGACTTGAGTAATGCCCTACCTGATTCTCAGTTTGCTTTCAGGAAAAAAGTGCTCCACTGAGGATGCCCTCTGTGTTCTCACGGACAGCTTGCAGACGGCGAAGGACAGTGGTCTGGTAACGGGGCTGTGCCTCCTCGACATGTCCAAGGCTTTTGACAAAATCCGGCATGGTATCCTCATCCAAGACCTTTTTGACGTTGGTATCTCTGGTGTCGCCCTGAAGTGGTTCGCGAATTACCTGACAGATCGCAGGCAGCAAGTAATTAGTTACAGTCGCTTCGGCCACAAGTCGTGCTCTTGACTGCACCTGTGGTGTGCCCCAAGGCTCTGTCTTGGGGCCTGTTCTCTTTAACGTCTACACCCGTGATGTGAAATCGGTCTCATCGCCAATACCCAGCGTGCAATTCGCAGACGACATTGCCCTGTATGATTCAAAAGCTTCCGCTGGGGAAGTCTCCAAATCCGTCTCTTCAGCTGTCACTGATCTCGCCATATGGCTTAAGTCACGCGGCCTCATTTTAAATTCCTCCAAAAGCCAGGTAATGACATCTCAACGCAACATGCCGGGCCTGAGGTCTCTATCGTGTGCTGCTATACCTCTCTACCGATAGTGAAGTCTGCGCGGTATCTTGGTGTCTTTCTTGACAACCGCCGGAGTTGGGATGTACACGTCAGCGCCATAGTGACCAAAGCTACGAGGAAGATTGGCGCCTTGTGGCGTGCCCGTCGATGCCGCTCCTGCAGCTCGCGCAAGATATATGTAAAGGCTATTGTCATGCCGGATATGATATATGGTGCCTGCTGCTTCTCTGCAGCCCTCCACGTGACCCAACTTCAGCGTCTGCAAGCCATGAAAAACCGGGCGATCTGATGCATTGATGGCAGCCCGCCATGTTCCGCGATGCAGCCCCTCCTGGCGGCCAACTCGATTTACCGCGTCACTGAACTTTTTAAACAAAAGCTCCTGATCTTCATCTGGCGGTGTCTAAATGACTCCACTAGCCTTGCTCTAGCCCAGCTTCTCAAACCAGCAGCATGCAGCGGCATAAGTACACGCCATCAGCATGCCAATGGTCTGCTCAGCCAGCCAGCTCGCAGTCGGTGTGGCCAAACGAGATTCGCCACCGCAGGAGCATTGCTGTGGAACAGTTTGCCTAGAGAGGTGCGCACCGTATCCAGATTGCAAGATTTTAAGCTAGCCTGCCTTCCTTATGTATGCCTGGAATAGGTTGTGTTTCGTCAGGTTTTGACATGTTCCTTTTCTTCTCAGTATTCTAGCTCGCATAGTACTCCACTTCTATGATAATATTGCCTATGCTGTTGCTCATTAGGATTTTGGCAAATTCTATCCTTCGCTTTCATATAACTGGGCCAGGAACCCGTTTGAACTTGCGAAGTAAAATAAAATCAATCAATCAATCAATCAATCAATCAATCTTCAGTGAAGGCAATGCCGGGACATCAGAGCAGTGTGAGTAAACAGATACAGATAGACTCCCAAACACACACACGCGCGCGCGCGCACGCACAAACACACACGCACACACATACACACATGCACACGCGCACACACACACACACACACACACACACACACACACACACACACACACACACACACACATAGACACAACATGCATCTCACAGGTGAGATTCTCTGGTTATTCACCATCTTTTTTTCTTTTTTCTTTTTTTTTGGCTGTTTTTTACTCCTGGGGTTCTGTACAGATATTTGGTAACTACATGTTACCTGGAATGGATGCCACTGGCACTCTCCACTACGGCAACACAGCGCTGTCTGATCCGGGCAGCACAGGAAGTAAGGCAGTTTGATGTATGCTGCTGTTGTCCAGGGTTGTGGTGGGACATGATTTTGACACAGTGAATCCGGACAAAGGAATGCTGCTGGCATGCTGGTGTGCACAAGGTGACTGTCTGGAAATTGTGAAATTACATTACCAAGTACATGTACTGGTGGTGCTTCTTGAGCAATTCTAGTTCTTTTCAAGCCAGTTCGCCTGGACTCCGCAAAAGCAGTTCATGGGAATAACATGCATCTCTTTCCGCTTGTAGCTGCTCTTTCAGCCTGGTCCGATTGTATCAAAGGATCGGCATCTACTTCAGTATTGCTACTAGCCTAGTAACGCTATCTTCAGAGCCTGAACTGGCTGAAGCACAACGAGAAACTTCTCTTCGGCTTTTCGATATTCACTTCGCGTCCAAGATTCTCTTTGTTCTCGACAAAACAGTTTCCTCCTTGCAAATCCTTGTTGCGAATTTTTGCAACAGCTTTGGTTGGGCGCACGCAGATGCTGTGATGCCCATTGACCTGACTACAATGCAGTCATATAGTCATTGCTGCATCAAGTGCCAACAGCAAAAAAGTGTTACGTGTCTACACAAAGGGATCTGCGATCCAGTAACCTGGTAACACGAGGAGGGTTGCACCTACTTCATGAGTGTAGCCGATTGTTGCCAAAAAGCTGGGATTTCCCGATGTTATCCACTATGAAAGTCCCAATGCCGCTCAAATCTCACAAAATGCTCACTTTTTCCCTTTCTAATGCTCAACAATGCTTTCGTGCTCGGATAGTCCTTTAGGGGTTTTATGTCAGGCCCTAGACGACGGCTACAATGGCCAACTGGACAACAAAGAATTTTTCTTTTCAGGCGCATGCTTTTTACGTAAGTGACGTAATAGACGGGAGTCAGGCCGCTACAGTCCCATAGAGTATAGTAGCCACTATGTCTCTGCTGCTGCTGCTACTTTACAACTTTACCAGCTGGTGAAGACTTATGAAAGCGTTAGTCTGTCTCTTCGTTATTCTCCAATGCCGTATAATCTCTATTACAAGCGCAGTCTCTTGTAAAGGCCCAGTCTCTATATAAGCACACTCCAAGAGGGTTTCGAAGATATACAAGCCCAGTCACCAATATAGCCGCAGGGCTTATAATGGAGAACCGTATGGATCATGTTCATGCATGTTTGACGTCACACAGTATCACATAAACACATGCTGTGGTAAACGTTTGTGATACCCGAGGTCTAAAGTGCAGACTCAGTGTACCAGGAAGCACAAAACTGCAGTCCTGGTACCTGCTGGGAAACTTTCTGATACTGATAATTATAATGAAAAATGATAAGCACTGAACATGTACCAGGCGGTTAAAAATTACAAGCACAGACTCGAGTAGAATCCCAGTCTCCAATATAAGCCCAGGGTCCGGACTGGTTGAAA